ACGGTTTGTGACCCACATCAAAACATTGTGGAAACATGTTTGAAAATATCAAATTGGGTTTTGACCGACGAATGCACTTTTGAAAAAATGAGGTATTGGTTAAGAGGGGGATGTAATAAAGGTGTAGTGATTATAATGGTGAAATTTAAATTATTGAGCGTTATAGAACTGTTTAAAAAACAAATTCACGTTGCATTTGTTCAGATTTATTGTGTTTCCAACAAGGTGTATTCAAGTTATGAACCCAATAAACAGGACTAAAAAAGAAAAAAGTGCAGAAGGGGGTGTTGAACAAAGGTTCAGCCAAAGGTTTGAATCTTAACGTTTTGTTTTTTTGGTTGAATAACATTTTATAATAACAAAATTTGATTAGTTTTTGAAGCTAAAACAGTATTCGTTAAAATAGTTTTAATGTTAATTTCTCAGATAAAAAAACAATTTTTTTTTGAATAAGTCTTTTAATAGCCCCGGCAAATAACCATTTCATATTACCAAAAAAATAATTGAAAAACAAAAAAAGTCAAAAGGCAATTTGAAAATGTTATAAGAAAGTGGTCTTTTTATTTTTATGTAAAATTGACACTTAAAATAGTATTTTTTATAAATAAATTATACATAAAACTATAAATTTGTTAAAAAAGAACCATTTTATTCCACAAGTGGTTTTTTTCGCTGACTATAGTATAAAAATATATTATAGTTTGATTATTATTTAATAATAGTATTGAAATATGTACCACGTCATTTAAATATGTCAACAAAGTCTATAAAAGAAAAACTACACTTGTTAATTTGTAAATTCAATTTTTTGAAGACACCTACAGGAAAGATAATCACATTGGAAGTTGATCCAAACGATTCCATTGATGTTATTAAGGCTAAGATTTGAGAAATAGAAGGTATTCCACGAGATCAACAGCGACTCATCTTTGTTGACAAACAGCTTGTCGAGGAAAAACCACTTTCCGACTACAACATCCAGAATCAGTCAACACTTTGCATTATTTTGAGATTGAGAGGGGATTAAAGCATTTTGCCTCTTTACATTCGTCTTGCGTATTAATTCATTTTACGTATTAATTATTTATTTCACAATATCATATCATTTGTTGTGAGTTGTATTGAATTACATTTTTGATTTTATAATAAGTCAATTGTATTATAATTATAATATAAGTGCATTTGCCGGGACTCGAACCCGGATCTCCACCTTGGAAGGGTGGAATTCTGCCCTTAGACCACAAATGCTTCTCATTATTTTTATTATTTAAATTGATATAACCAATGTGTTTATTAATAACAAGTGATAAAGAATATAACCCAATTAAAGTTGAGTTAAAAGTCATTCAACATATTTTACTTGAAATATTAAAAATAAATAATAAGAGTATTGAAATGAGTGATATAGTTAGTAGAGCAAGAGTGGCCGAGTGGTCCAAGGCGCTCGTTTCAGGTACGAGTCTTTTCGAAGACATGGGTTCGAACCCCACCTCTTGCATTTTGTCACTTTTTATTATTAATAAAATCTAAATTGATTGTATTTCAAATAAATTTATTCCACGTCACTTACTTATCCAAAGAGACACAAGAAGTGGAGTATCTTCCGATACTCGAGACGCAATGCGGAGATGAAAAGCGGAGTGTAGTGACGGTCAAAGTCCACCAATATCTCCTCGACGCCGAGTGTCTGTCGCTGACCCTCGCGAAGTGTCTTCCGCTGGAATTGACGATTTTTGCATACACAAGAAACGCGTACGAAAAGTGCAGAACCGAGAAGTGCGATTTAAGAGATCCTTAGTTTGTGTGGGGTGCAAAATATATTGAATACGTCAATGTGAGAAAGACTAAAGTCGGGGAACTGACTCTCCCTTTGACTACAAAGAGTCTCAATATGAAGGATGTCTACGGAGACGTAGTAACGACGGGTTGCAAACTTGAAAATCTGTCCGTAAATGGAACGTACACCGGTAAGACACTGATTGTCGACAATGAAAAGCTTTCAAATTTAGAGTGTAACACAAATTCAGTAGCTATGATAATTAATGGCTTAACGAATAAGAACACTTTTCAATGTAATTTGGATCTCAAAAAGAATGACTTTAGTGTTATCGAAGAACAGAGAAATTCTTCAACTGAAAAAGTAATATTTTTTGTTTCTAAAAACAAAGAAATCGGCCGAGTCTCATTCTTAGAGAGTTTCATCTACAGAAACAACACATTGCAAATTCGAGAAATTGCTTCAAATTTCGACGGAACTATTTTTAATCTTGAAAAACTCGAAATCATTGGAAAACAAAATTTGGAAAAAAATCTGTCAGTGAAGTGTGGTGACGTCAAAGAAGTGTTTGTGATGATTGGAAACTACTCAAATTTTGTGTGTGGAAATATCGAAAATCTTGAAATTAGTGAAGCAAAAGTTGAGGTTTTAAAGGGCGGAAAGATACTCAAGGTAAGTAAAGATACGTGGAAAAATGTCGGGAAATTGGAGGCGGAAGTCGAAATGAAAGAAAAAAAGAAAGAAAAACA